CAAAATGATCTGACATGACTACCTTCCTCCATGACGATCTAATGAGATGAAGTCCTTGGCCCGGTGCCAGACTGGCGTAAACTCTCAGGAAAAGTTGGCTATTTCCATTAGAAGCTCTCCCTGATAATAGAGACATGGGTCCTGCAATTCTTGGGTCCCATCAGATGGGACATGTGACCTCTGGCTCATTTGGACAATCATCTCTCTGCCTCCAACTCTCTCTGGCCGGAGTTGGGGACACTTCCCACCTTTTGCGGCTGTGGCTGTGACCTTACTCTGGTTCCGCCTCGTTGTTGAAGGGTGATCCTGCCCAGCTGCAGTGGGGAGTCAGGCCATCCCCTCACCATCCTCTGAGCTTGGCCCTGGGGCAGACCTGTTCCCTCAGTCCCTAAGGTAGGTGATGGAGCTTGAGACAGGGCCATGCCCAGGCTCCCCAGGGAGGACCTGATTCTGAGGATGTGAGACACAGCACCAGGCATCTCAGAGGTCCAGAGTCAGGCTGGCTGATGCATTTTGGAGGCTCCTGTCATGTACAAAAACAAGGAAATGTCAAAGCAGGTACCTGAACAGGGGTAACACATCCTACAAAGTCAGTCTGATGCCCTTCATTGGAGGAAAGCTCCAAATGTCTCCATTTGAAGCTCTTCAATCTTCAGAGGCCTGGGAAGGCATTGTCACCCCTACCTTGAGATGGGGAAACTGAGGCTCAGGAGGGGAAGCAACTGACCCAGGCTGTGCTAGGCCAGGCCCCAGTACCCCAGCTCCTCTAGGCTCCCCATGTCCCTTTGAGTGTTACCCCCCAACCCCCAGGTCCTTGTTGCTTTTCTTGGCTCAAGAAAGCAAGGCTGCACTTTGGAGAGCTGGGCTCCAGCCTGTGACATGAGCTCCTGTGGCTTCCGTGGTGTTGTGCCTTCTTTTGGGCTGGTAGTTGGGGTGGCTGTGGCCCTCAGAAGACCTCAAGTGCTGCATTCTTGCACCCCTGCATGGAGCTTTCCAGTGGGCTTTGCTGGGGGTGAAGCTGCCAGGGGCCCTGCCACACATGCACTTGGTGGCTTCCTTCAAGAACACAGCATGCCTCTGGCACCTGGCTTTTCTCTCTCTCTGACTCCCTCCTCTCCTTCCTCTCCCCTAGTGCCTGCCACGAAAGAGCACCCAGAAGTGCAGGTGGAAGACACTGATGCTGTCACCCATCCCCTCATCACGGAGGAGAATCCACCCTCGCCTGAGCTGCTGCCACCTTCTCCTGCCAAATCCGACACCCTCACGGTCCCGGGCTCAGCCCTGGGGATGCACAGGTCACCATTTATGCTTCTCTTGGGCTTTTCTCAGCACTGGGCCACCTGCCTATTTGGCAGATGAGGAAACTGAGGCCAGAGAGGGAAAGCGACTCCCCAGAGTCACGTAGACGTGAGAACTCTCCTGGATTCCCACTCCCAACTGCAGGTTCTTCCTGCTGACTCTGGGAGGGCTCAAGGAGGCAGGAGAGGCAGGACATGGAGAGAATGGGCTGCTTCCTTCTGCCTCGGAATTTCCAGGTCCCCGGATCCTGCTGTGTCCTCCAGCTCTCAGCTGGCGGGTGTCCTGCCTGTGCTCAGAGTGCTTGGGGTAGGGGACCCCAGCCTCGCCTCTCCCCTCCCCTCTTCCCCACTCCCCTCCTGCCCTGCCCCCTCCACTTCCAGCCTTCTCCCTGCTCCCCCACCTTCCTCCTCTCTCCTCCTCCTCTCCCTCCGTCTGGAAAGCCCCTGCCCCGGTGTCTCACATCTGGAGTCAGCCATGCGCCAGGCCATGGGTGGGCGGCACATCAGCTCTGGGCTCTGCTCCGCCCCCTCACCTGGGTGAAAAGCAGCAGTCAGGGAAGGGGCGGGGTGGGGACAGACCAGCTGCAGTGCAGGCTGCCCCAGTGTTCAGTCACACGGCCTCCTGGGTCCACAGGGGACCAGCTCCAGGACCCAGTGCCAGCCCTTCACACAACGCTTTCTTTGGGAGGTGGGAAGGACCTACTCCTAGTGACACTGATGTGACGTGCAGAGGACCAGACCAGGTAAAGCGTCTGCCCGTAGCAGGTGCTCAGTAAAGGCTCCCTCTTGTCACTGTCATTCCCCGAGTTACCCCAGGTCTCCTCGCCAGGAAGTGCCATCCCCCTGTGTCCCCACAGAACAACCCATTCTACAGATCAGGAGAATGAGGAAAACCAGGGCCAGACATAAGCCCACCATCCGCGCCACCTGAGGCAGCCCATCTTCCCCGGGTCTCAGGGGTCCCGGGGCAGGACAGATGCCACTCTGGAAACTGTGGGCCTCTGCTCTCTCTCCTGACCAGAGCAACAGCTGGCCGGAGGTCCATGACAGCTCTCTCTCTGCCTGTTTCCTTGGCTGTCTCTCCTTTCTCAGCATCTATGTCCTTCTGCTTCTCTCTGCCTCTCAATCCTGTGAGTCTCCGGGTGTCCTCTTGTGGTGGCCATAACTCACTGCTGCTAACTCTCTGGGTGTCTCTGTCTCTGTTTCTCCCTCTTGTCTGGCAAGCTCTCTGAGCCTCTCCCTCCCTGGGTGTCCACTCTGGAAGACCCAGGACACATTGGTCACCTCCCAGCCAGGCCACTGAGCTGAGGCCTCTTTCTCTCCCTCTTTTGCACCCAAAGCCAAGCGGGGATGGGTCAGAGGCTGGGCCGGGGTCTCCCAAACTGACACCCCCCAGCCTCTGGAGCTCGCTCCAAGTCCCTGATACCAAATCTTAGAATAACTCAGCCTCTCGGAACAGTAATTGTGAGGTCATGCCTAGCTGGTCATGGGCCAAGGGAGCATCCGGGGGAGCCCAGCCCACGACCCTCCCAAACTGACGTGGGGCTCCCAGCTGCCCCAGCCTCTCCAGGCTGGCTGTAAATTCTTTTCCTTTTGGGATTTCAGTTACCCAAACGAAGGAATTTCTGTTGCCCAACAAAATATCTTGAGGTCTGATTTCCTAACGTCACTGCTGGCGCATCTCTAAGCAGTTTGGAATGGGGGGACGGGTTGGGAAGAACAGCATCTGCTTCTTAGAGGAATGGGGCTGTTTTTCCAAGAAGCAGCCTTGAAGAGGCTGTTACCAATGTCCTGAGCCTGGGAATGACTAGCTAGCTGTCCCGGGGGAAGGCTGTGGTAACTACACCTGCAGACCCCCTTGAGGCCTGGCCAGAGGACGGATTTATCTGCTCAGGTGGCTTGGCAATGCCAGCACACATGGTTCTGCCTCTCACCTCCCCTGCCTTAGAGCTCAGCTTGGTGGAATGAGCGTGGACCTGCTCGCCCTTCTCCTCCTTGGGCAGAAATGGGAAAAAAACAGGCCCCAGGTCTGCTCCCAGGCTGCACCTCCAGCAAGACTCTGGCCTGGGATCCTTTGCGTAACCTCTGAGTCAGCTCTGACTTGTCTGGACAGACCCTGAGCGTGGCTGTGGGGCCTGGGGCAGACTGAGGTGAGGTCAGGAGGTCAGGTCCTGAGGGTACCGCTAACCAGCTGTGGGACCCAGGGAAGCCACCTACGTCAACTGGCTCCTCTGTAAAGTGTAACTCAGAATGCTCCCTGCCTCCCAGAGTGAGTGTGCGATAAGGAAAAATAGCAGAATTTCTGGCCAGCATTTATTGAGCACTTGCTGTGTGCCACACATTGTTCTATGTGCTTTGTGAGGATTAATATATTTAATTCTTGTCTATGAACAGATGAGGAAACTGAGGCACCAACAGGCTAGGTGACTTGCCCAGGATCACACAGCCAGGAAGGGTATAGTCAGATTTAAACTCAGGCCGTCTGATGCCAGGACCATGATCTCAGCACTTAGGCCAGTTTCCTGGCTAATAAACCAGACACATCCATTGTGGGTGGGTCCCTGCCCAATCGGCTGGGGCCTGGGGAACACAGTGGGCCCTGGCCACCAGAGGGGAGACTCATGGCTGCTAGATTTTCCCTTCCGCCAGGAGCCACTCAGTCAAGAGGACTTCTCTAGATTCTTCTTCCAGAGATCTCAGGCATCCCCTCAATGAGTAGTGGTAGCCCTTAAATGCTGGCAGGGGCCTCCAGCACCTCTGTCTGGGTGTCCTTGCAATGACACCCCCATCTCGGTTCAGGGCTTGAGGGTAACCCCCAAAGAGGCTGAGTGTAGGTCCTCGGGCCCAACTCACTCAATTCGAATGCTGCCTCTAGGCTCAGGGCCTGAGGGTAACCACCAAGGAGGCTGAGTGTAGGTCCTCGGGCCCAACTCACTCAATTCGAATGCTGCCTCTACTGCTTCCCAGCCGTATCTTCTCAGTCACTCTGCCACTCTGTGCCTCAGATTCCTTCTGTGTGAAATGGGGACACTGACTGAAGCGACTTTTTAGGTTGTCGTGGAGATGACATGAGCTGACACACATGCAGGGCTCACTGCAGCGCCTGGCATAGACTGAGAGCTCAGCACACACCAGGTGCTGCCGAGAGCCTGGGAATGCGCGGCGCGGAGGGGGAGTCCATGTCGGAGTCAGACAGTGCAGGAGGCCACCANTGCAGCCTCGAAGCAGCTGGCACCAGTGCCCTGGGCCTGAAAAAAACCAGCTAGCTGCCCCAGAGAAGGCTGCAGGGACAGCAGCTACGGACACCCCGGAGGCCTGTCCAGAGGATGGGTTTATCTGCTCAGGTGGCTTGTCCATGCCACCCCATGGGGGCAGAACCATGTGTCCTAGCCTTCTCCTCCCCTGCCCTAGAGCTCAGCTTGGCTGGGATGAGCATGGACCTGCTCCCCCTTCTCCTCCTTGGGCAGAAAATAAGAGAAAACAGGCCCCAGGTCTGCTCCCAGGCTGCACCTCCAGCCAGACCTGGCCTGAGATCCTTTGCGTAACCTCAGAGTCAGCTCTGACATGTCTGGAATAGACCCTTGAGTGTCGCTGTGGAGCCTGGGGCAGCCTGAGGTGGGGTCAGGAGGTGATGTCACGAGCGTACTGCTAACCACCTGTGGGACCCTGCGGAAGCCACCTACATCAACTGGCTCCTCTGTAAAGTATAACTCAGAATGCTCCCTGCCTCCCAGAGTGAGTGTGCGATAAGGAAAAATAGCAGAATTTCTGGCCAGCATTTATTGAGCACTTACTGTATGCCACACACTGTCCTATGTGCTTTGTGAGGATTAATACATTTAATTCTTGTTTATGAACAGATGAGGAAACTGAGGCACCAACAAGCTAGGTGACTTGCCCAAGGTCACACAGCCAGGAAGGGTGTGGTCAGATTTAAACTCAGGCCATCTGATGCCAGGACCCATGATCTCAGCACTTAGGCCAGTTTCCTGGCTAATAAACCAGACA